CCAGCATTGATTTCTATCTCCTTCTCTCTTCCTCTCTGAAATCAATTAAAAAATATATATTTTAAAAAGAATGGTGGCCCTGCTTAAGAGACCCCACAGAGATCTCCTGCCCCCTCCACCAGGTGAGGACGGAATCTATGAACCAGGAGGTGGGCTCTCACAGACACGAACCTGCCCACGCCTTCATCTCAGGCTTCCAGCCTCCGGGACTGAGAGAAATGAATGTTTGCTGGTTGAGCCACTCAGCCCGTGGTGTTCTGTGAGAGCAGCCCCGAGGTCCTCAGACACCTCAGGGACACGTGGTGGCTGTTTTTTTAAGTAGACATCACATGGTGAGCGCATCGGGGTGGCTGTGGTTTTAGAACGATTCTTTGAGAGTGGGATGATATGGAAATGTTCTACATTTGGAGGCGGGTGGGCCTGCAGGGGCCAAGTCAGGTGGTGGTGGTGACAGTGTCTGATCTTAGAGGCTGCCCCTGGCAGAGACCCCGTCCCATCGAGGTGCAATGACAGGGGCCCGGTCATCATTTGTAGGTGCAATGAGAATGAATGCAGCATTTTTGGAAGAGCAAAATTTGCAAATGTGTCCAGGCCAGGGAACGTACTCCCTGCGGAGCTGCAACTCTCCAGTGCTGTGATCCCGGTCATCATTTGTAGGTGCAATGAGAATGAACGCAGCATTTTTGGAAGAGCAAAATTTGCAAACGTGTCCAGGCATGGGAATGTACTCCCTGCGGAGCTGCAACTCTCCAGCGCTGTGATCCCCAGATCCTGGGGTCTGGGATTCGGGGGGGGGGGGGTGTTGGGAGAGGGGGAGATCAATGTGTGCAGGTGGCATGCAGCGCCCCCTGGGGGCAGCACAGGACACCTGTCCTGACTTCACTGAGAAGAAGGGATCCCTCTGTCCCCAGGCCCTTCCCGGACATTCGTCCCAGCGTGGGGGTCTAGAGAGGGACACTTATGAACAGGTTAGTACTTGCCTGTTTCTAAGCATCTTCATTTACCAAACGTGGTCCCCTTGAGGCCAGACAGGGTGTCTGATTTGCCTGCATGTTGCCCGTATGCCGCGTGGCACCTGCCACACCTGAGGGCCCAGGATGTGAGGTTGAGCAGACACACACAGTGTCTCTACAGAACCCAAACAGACTCATTTGAAGAAGAAGAGCTGGGACAGGGAGACAACAGGTCGGGGAGTCTACCCCACTCCCTTCACACCTCCCATGCCCTTTACGCGGCCTGCACCTCCCTCCCACCCCCAGACTCACCTCTGGGTGCAGGTGCCTTGTCACAACAGGTGTTACCAGTAGGAGTCACCCGATGGCATGACAGAAGAAGAGGAGGAGATGGGAAGTGGACTCAGGTCTTGTGGGTGGGTGCTCCTGGGGAAACCAGGGTCAGTGAGCCACTCCCTCCCCCCATGAAAGATGATGGGGTGCCCCTGAGAACAGCCTGCACTTGCCAGATTTAGCAAATACCAACATGCCTGGCTGCTGTGGCTCAGTGGTTGAGCGTTGATCTATGAACCAGGAGGTCATGGTTCGATTCCGGTCAAGGGCTCATGCCCAGGTTGCGGGCTGGATCCCCAGTAGGGGGCATGCAGGAGGCAGCCGATCAATGATTCTCCCTCATCATTGATGTTTCTGTCTCTCTCTCTCCCTCTCCCTTCCTCTCGGAGATCAATAGAAATATATTTAAGAAAACAGAAGGCACCCGCTTCCATTCGAATTTCAGATATACACAACGTGTCATTTTAGTATAAGTATGTCCCGGGCAATATTTGGGACATACTTATACTCAACAAAGAGAGTCCTTGTTTATCTGAAAGTGAAATTCACTGGGCACCTCGCATGTTAGCTGCCAAGGGCCCTGCTCCCCACCCCCATGAACCTACCTTCCCCTCCACCGCTGCCCCATCACCAGCCCCCACCCCCCACTAAGGACGGCCCACTATGAGCTTTCACTTCTGCTTTGGCAATGCCCGTGCCCAGCAGGGGAGCCCCATCTTCCACCCACAGCCAGGCCCCAGGGCTGGACACATGCCCCCCACGCCCTCCCACAGAGGCGACCCCGGGAAGGACCAGCTGAGCCAGACCAACGCCAGGCAGCAGCCCGCCTACCAGGAAACACAGACAGAGCATCCAGTGGGCCAGATGGGGTGGGGAGTGGGGAGAAGGGGAGATCCCCGTGGGCTCAGAGGAGAAGCTCATTTCATGCATCAGTTTCCAAGGCCCCACTTCCGCCTGCCTGCCCCCGGGGCTTCCTCTTCTGTCCTTGCCCGTCTCCGTCAGAGCATCGCCAGGGGATGAGCCTGACTCAGGGCCAGGCCCAGTGTCTCCGGGGCAGACATGCTCTTGCCGCTGCTCTTCGGGGTGCTGTGGGGCGGTAAGTGGGCCGAGGGCCTGGGCCCCAAAAAGACACAGGATCCGGATAAAGGATACCAGCTGACGGTGGAGAGGGCGGTGACGGTGCCTCAGGACCTGTGTGTGTGGGTGCCCTGCTCCTTCTCCTACCCTCGGGAGGGCAACACCAAGGGTGCCCCGGTTCAAGGCTACTGGTTCAGAGATGGGACCGATGCCCTCAAAGGTTTTCCTGTGGCCACAAATGACCAGTCGCGGAGGGTGCATTGGAGCACCAGGGGCCGCTTCCAGCTCCTGGGCAGCCCCCGGGATGGCGGCTGCTCCTTGCTGCTCACGGATGCCCGGATAGAAGACAGAGGGATGTATTACTTTCGGGTCGAGGGAGGCACTGCTGTGCGATACAGCTTTACGAACAATAAGTTCTTGCTGGATGTGACAGGTATGGAGCTGGAGCTGGCTGGGATGGGGTGGGAACTCCCCCTGCACCCTCCCCCTGCCTCATGCTGGGAGGGCCCTGGGGCATGGGCCAGGGGGTGCTCCTTGAAGTGCCCGCTCTCCTCCCAGCCCGGACACAGGAGCCAGCCATCTACGTCCCCGAGACCCTGGAGCCTGGGCGCCAGGCGACAGCCGTCTGTGCGTTTCAGTTTCACTCGGAACACTGCCCAGCCCCTACTCTCTCCTGGAGGGGGGCTGCCCTTGCCCCCCAAGAAATCGGCGAGACAACGGCCTACGTCTCAGTTCTCACCCTCACGCCCAGATGGCAGGACCACGACACCGACCTCACCTGTCGGGCGAGCTTCTCCAGAGAGGGCCCGAGCTTCGAACGCAGCGTCCGGCTGAATGTGGCCTGTGAGTCTGGCGGGGGGCATCGGGGTGGCTAGCAGGCCCGGTGGGTGGGGACGTGGGGACGTGGTGGCCCTGGGTGGCTCTGGGGGTGGGGTCCACAGAGAGGAAGGGGTAGGGTCCTGAGCTGGGAGGGTAGGAGGGGAAGCGAGGCCATCTGATTCTCCACCCACAGGCGTGCCTGTCACTCCTCTGTCACTTGTCCTCACCGGGACGGTCACACTGTCTGTCTCAAATGTTGGGCTCGCTGTGGCCCCTCCCCAATGCCAGCTCACGATCTCATTGCAGATGCCCCCGAAACCCCGGTCATCAGCATTTCCTGGGACAACAGACCAGGTACTGAGGCTCAGCAGGGTGGGCTGGGACTGGGCCGGCCCTCTTTGGAGGGTGGGGGGAATGGGGCTCCTCCCTCTCGCTCTCTCTCTTTTTAATATATTTCTATTGATTTCAGAGAGGAAGGGAGAGGAAGAGAGAGTTAGAAACATCAGTGAGGAGTCTGGCCGCGGCCTGTGCACCAAAAGGTTGCTGGTTTGACTCCTGGTCAGCGCACACACTTGGGTTGCGGTTTGGTCCCTGTTTGGGGCCTGTACAGAAGGCAACCGATCTCTGTTTCTCTCTCACAGTGATGTTTCTCTCTCTCTCTCTCTCTAATCAATAAAAACATATATTTTTTAAAAAGGAAACATCCACGATGAGAGAGAATAAGAGACAATCATTGATCGGCTGCCTCCTGCACGCCCGCCACACACTGGGGATCGAGCCCGCAACCTGGGCACGTGCCCTAACCGGGGATCAAACCGTGACCTGGTTCATAGGTCAATGCTCAACCACTGAGCCCCCCGACCGGTCTCCCTCTCTCTCCTTCCCTCTCTCCCTCTCCCCAGCCCTGGAGCTCCAGGGGGACAGCCCATATCAGGAAGTCCAGAAGGGCCAGCTCCTGAGGCTGCTCTGTGCTGCGGACAGCCGGCCCCCCGCCGCCCTGAGCTGGGCCCTGGGAGACAGAGTCCTCTCCTGGTCCCACCTCCCGGGACCCGGGGGCCTGGAGCTGGAGCTGCCCGGAGTGCAGCCGGGGGACGCGGGGCGCTACTCCTGCCGAGCGGAGAACAGGCTGGGCCTCCGGAGCCGCACCCTGAGCCTCTCTGTGCGCTGTGAGTGTGACCTCGGCCTGGCTTCCGGAGGGGAGGCGAGGGGTGAGGGCAGGGGCTGGGACGGGGTCCCAGAGCTCCAAGGAGCTGGAACCTGGGCCTGTGGGACCCATGATTCTGGTTCCAATTCCGACCACCACCACCACCAAGCAATTCTCTGACACCAGCTGGGTGTCCTGCAGTGTGACTCAGTTCCGACCCTCTGCACCCAGAGGTGCAGGTGCCACGGGTTAAGGGCTCAGTCCCACAGGCCTGCCCCACCTTGGACACCATAGCAAGTCCGGTTGCCACCTGCGCTGCTGACTATAGAGCAGAGGCTATAGGTGGGAGCTTCCCACGACCCTCTCCTCAGGGGCCACTGACTTGCTAGATCAGTGGTTCTCAACCTTCCTGATGCCGCCACCCTTTAATAGTTCCTCATATGTTGTGGGGACCCTCAACCATAAAATCCCTGAGCCTCTCTGTGCGCTGTGAGTGTGACCGCGGCCTGGCTTCCGGGGGGGAGGCGAGGGGTGAGGGCAGGGGCTGGGATGGGGTCCCACAGCTCCAAGGAGCTGGAACCCGGGCCTGCGGGACTCACAATTCTGGTTCCAATTCCGACCACTACCACCACCAAGCAATTCTCGGACACCAGCTGGGTGTCCGGCAGTTCGACTCAGTTCGACCCTCTGCACCCAGAGGTGCAGGTGCCGCGGGTTAAGGGCTCAGTCCCACAGGCCTGCCCCACCTCGGACACCATAGCAAGTCCGGTTGCCACCTGCGCTGCTGACTATAGAGCAGAGGCTATAAGTGGGAGCTTCCCACGACCCTCTCCTCAGGGGCCACTGACTTGCTAGATCAGCGGTTCTCAACCTTCCTGATGCCGCCACCCTTTAATACAGTTCCTCATGTTGTGGGGACCCCCAACCATAAAATTATGTTCGTTGCTATTTCATCGCTGTAATGTTGCTGCTGTTATAAATCGTCATGTAAATATCTAATATGCAGGATGTCTTTTCATTGTTACAAATTGAACATAATGAAAGCCTAGTGATTCATCACAAAAACAATATGTAATTATCTATGTGTTTTCCGAGGGTCTTAGGCGACCCCTGTGAAAGGGTCGTTCGATCCCCAAAGGGGTCGCGACCCCCA